TAGAATTTGGTGACTAAAGTGGAATAATTGAATAATATTGTAATTTAGTATAGGGTTAAATTGCAAGGAAGATGGAATTGGAGGATAGAATGATCACTGTACGTAAAATAATTAAAGTTGGTTAAATATATATGGAGGCCACGTGTAGGAGAGGAAGAAAATATTCAAGCTTCCAGACTTCTCTTCTCCTCATTTCTTCTTTGTACGTGTGAGCCAAGGTAAGGGTAATTTTTTTTATTAGTTGGTTATTAGCTGAGATTTAAGTTTGGTTTTGATCCATAGATGCTAATTAAGCGTAAGGAAAGTTTATTTTGCTTCAAAACAACAAGATGAAAGAGGTAGAAAGAATTTAAGATTACGAGTTCTTGAATGAAATATCGAAATAAAGTTCATACTGAGAATTGGAGGTTGAATTTGACTTGTCATCGACTTAATTAAGATATATGAAGTGTTAGAATTAGATTTAGAACATGTTAGAATTTGAGTGAGATTCTTGAATTCTATGTAGAGGAATGAATTTTTAAGTTTAAAAGGTATTGAATGGATAATAATTAGTTTAAGTAGGTGTATGCAAGTTAGAGACATAAAAGGAGGTGAAATAGGAAGTGTTGAGAGGATTATAAAGGGATTTTCGTGCTCAAAGTAACCATTCTGGGCTGTGTACATCGATACACATTCAATGTGTACCGATGCACTCTCAAATAAATGAACATCGAATGCCATTTGTGCATCGATGCATAAGGAGTGCATCGATGCAACCCCTTAAAATACAAACATCGAATGAGATTTGTGTACCGATGCATAGCTAGTGTATCGATGCATAGCTAATGCATCGATGCACACGTTAAAGAATGCATCGATACACTGTAGAGTGCATCGATGCATACCTTCATTAAAAGATGAAAATAACTTTCTTTTTAGCCTAAGGAGTGATAGTTTAGAATATATCAATTAGTATATTGATATGTATCAATGTATTACTATGTAGATATATAGCGTAATCTTGTTTCGGAACCATCAAAGGAGTAGGATCGAGTTAAAGCAAGCAAGGCTAAGGTGAGTGCCTATCCTAGATAGAATTGTATTGAGATAAGACATGTGATAAGTCTATCTCTTATAATTGAATTTATGATTCTATATTCATGCACATGCATACATATATATGTGTATTAATGTTATAGTGATTTCATATATAATTCATTCTTGATTTAACATGATATTATATGAATGAATACCATTGTCAGAGAATCCTTCCAGGTATGTGAAATAATGCAAATGATCATATGAAGTGACTTATGTGTTTACATGGACAGTGATGAAAGAGATGTAAAATGAGAAATATATTTATAATTAAGCCCATCTTATTTAATATGAGAGCTGTAGGTATAATTGGCATGCCAAGAGTTGAGGGATATCAATGGTCCTTCATGACATAGTGGTCATTCGGGACAAATATTCAGTGCCCCTAGTGGGATTTCATTCGAGTTGTGGTGACAACATTGTGCACAACCTCAATGTACTCGCGTACATTCCGTTCTCAATAATGTACATGGGCAATCCGAAGATAAATTAAAGTGAAATTAGCATAAGAATATATGTGCTTGCCACAATCATATATGTTATAGTGTAATCGATGCATGTAAATAAAAATTTCATGATCAGATGGTAAGAATGCATGTTCATGAATGCATTGTTATATCTATATATATTTATACTATGTCTCACTAAGTCTGTGACTTAGCGTGTAAGTGATTTACACGTAGGTACCAAGAATCCAGAAGAGCATAAATAGGGGTGGCAAGAACATCATCATTACTAGAAGACCATATTAGAAGTAATTGATAAATTATGTATTTTGTTGTGTATAGTGTGTTGGCATGTAAGAAAAGTGTCAGTTATGAATGCTTTGATCGATTTTGGTTGTTTTGGTCAATTTATGTAAATAAATTACCTTTATTTTAATGAAAGTTTTAAATTTTCCTTGAATTTTATCAAGAGTCAAAGTTTGAAAAGTCAATGTGACACCTCATACTCGTATTCGGTTCGGGTACGGGTTGGGGGTGTTACAATCATACCTTGATAGCCATGTAGGTTTCTGCCAAGAGAAATTAACAAGTTGAAAATGTTGATTTATCCACATTTTTCTAGTATTTAATAACTTGTACACTTGACATTTTTATAATATAATTGAATTTAAAATTCAATTCATTAGAATTTCAAAAAATACCATTAATGAAACTTGAAAATTACCAAATGTCATTGCATTTTCTTCCAATAAAATATTCCTTAGTCAAAGATGAATCAACTTGGCTTTGACTTTTCACTTTGGCTATGCAATTTTTGAAAATTACATTTTAGTCACTAAAATTCCACTGTCCAACCAAATCTGGAAATTAAACTATTCGATTTCAAAACCGAACTTTATTACTTTATTGCTTTTAACACAATTCTCGTACTGAAAATCTGATTCCCACGAAAATCATTGTTTTAGGCCGAACTGTTCATTTACGAAGCTAAAATATATAAATTTTCAAAATTATATTTTTTGGTCCCTAAACTTTACAAAGTTTATACTTTAGGTTTCAAACTTTCCAAACTTACATTTTAGTCACTAGTCAAAATTTAGGTATCACAGTTGTACTAAAATGAAATAAAAACTAAACTTTGAGTTTGATTTAGAAAAAAATGAAAATGCAAGTACTAAAATGAACTAAAACTAATAATTTAGGTACTAAACATGTAATTTATCATAATATTAAATGGGCACACCTATATATAAATAATGATAAATCACTAAAACTTTAGGCTCGATATTCAAAATTATTTTTTAGATAATCATTTAGTATTCAAAACCATTACAATAATATTTAAAAAAACATTACAATAATCTTAATATAAAAAAACCGTAGAATTATTTGAAAACCAATTTTCACAGAAAATCAACCAAATACCTTAAAACTTCGAAAACCTTTGAATATTAACTATAATATATTTAATTGATCAGAATTTAATTTTAAAATTCAGTGTTACAAGGTTCATGCCGAATTTTGTTTAGGCCCGTACAAAAATTAATGCTAACATCGCTTTGGTGTAAATCATGTAAATTATAATCTATGAGTGGACAAATGATATTTATGTTTTTATTGAATAATAATTTATAAAAAAAAGTAAATTATACGTTTAATATCTAAATTATTAATTATGGTTTGTTTTAGACTTTTAATTCCTAAACTTTCAATTTTTTAAAATCATACGTAACGTTTAATTTTTGTTTTGTTTTAGTACTTCGTGTTTAAAACCTAACAACATTGTATTTTTTATGGATAAATTACGTAATTCATCACTCAACTATCTTTTCACTCTTATTTTGGTATTAAAGTTTAAAAATTTTCAATTTAACTACTCAACTTTCAAATTGCTCCTATTTTAATCATTCTATTTTATTTTTATTGATAATTTTGCAACATGACATTTTTATTGATATTTTATTAATATATAATTAAAATATAAATAAATAGACTTGAAAGTTAGAGGATTGAATTAGGAGTAATTTGAAAATTAATTAAACTAAAAGATTGAAACTTTAGTGAAAATTAGAGTGAGAAGATAGTAGAGTGATGAATGATACAATTTACCCATAAAAATGTCACGCGCAAATCACCCGTTAAAATTTTAATAGTGAGGTATTCAAACGAAACAAGAATTAAACATTAGTCATGATTTTGAAAAAAAATTACCTGTTAAGTTTTTAATGCGTAATTTATCCTAAAAATTAATAGAAGGGACCTTGACTCGAATTATAATATGCTTCAAGATTCAAATTTACACCTAATCACTTTCATGTAACATATATGTTTATTATCGTTTTCATTTTAAAATAACAATAAATTAATTATCTGTCATGCGTAATGAAATTATACGTTACCACGTCGACACAATAAATGAATAACTGAGTTGGTCAGATTAAGAGTTAACATGTAGTTGATTTAATTTATCATTTTCATCCATATAATATTTTTACATCAATTTAACCCTCAAAGTTGCTTAATTGCTTCAGTGTTTAAAAATTTTACTATTGTTTAAGGTTTCAAGTTAAGGTTTGAGGGTTAATGGGTTTAAAATAGGGTTTAGGGTTTCAAGTTGCCTATCCCCTTCAATTGTGATTGGGTAGGGTTATTTTGATACTAAAAATCGTATTGTTAACAAATAATTTTGTTTTGGGTGCACACTATCTAAAGCATCAAATTAGACATATAAACAAAGGATTATATCCCCTGAATTGCCAAGTGGAAAGTGGAAACCCTAGCCCTCGTGGAAATGATATTTCATTAAAAAAATGTTAACGTTGGGGATTTTCTTTAGTTTCTAATTAAGTAATTATTCCTTAAATCTAAAACTTCCAAAAGAATAAAACAAAGGCAAAATGTGGCCATTAAATATTTGAAAATATATAACAACTCATTAAATTTATTAATATATTACAAAATGATCATACAAATTTATTTAATTATTACTAAGCAATCATTAAATCTATCAAAAGTTTATTCTTATTATAACATTATACTAATTATTTTTAAATTTTTAAATTTAAGTGACCAAAATAAATATTTCAAATATAATTAAATGACTTGTAATGTAGTTACCCATAAAGGAAATGGTGAACCCGTCACATGTTGCCTCAAGTGCCTCCCTATCGGGCCCACTTACACAAGCCCCACCATGGACCCCACAAAATAGTAGGAGCGTGTTAACAACATTCCTTAATAAGCGAGTGGGGAACGCAGCCCCGCCTTTTCTGCCATCCTCTCTTGCTTTGCTTCTTCTCACGAAAAAAATCTCCGTATCTCACTCACACCCCTTTATTTTCTTCTTATTTATATAATTCGCTTTTTTAATTTTCTGCTGGGTCCCAAAACCTGCCATGTCCAGCAAATCAAACAGAGATGCAACTGCTTATTATTAAATCTTAACCCCATTACTCTCTACTCCTCAAATTCTATTCTTTTTGGGTCTTTTTTTCTCTGCAATCTTCTTTCTTGTTTCCTACTCTTTTTTCTTTCTTTGTTTCACATGGCGGAGGTTTTAGGCGAAGGCGAGTTCTGCCTTCCTCGGTTTCTAACCGACGACGACTTGTTCATGGACAGGTATGAAGCTAAGAGCAACAACACCAAGAAACTGGAGGATGAGTTCCGGTTTGGGTTTGGGTCTTTTGGTTTCGCTTCGGATCCAAGTTCTCCGGTTGAGTCCGTGGTGGGTTCTACTGAGACTGAGAGTGACGAAGAGGACTATCTCGCTGGGTTAACTCGTCAAATGGTTCACTATACTCTCGACGATGGTGCTACCCGAAACGACCGTGCTTTTGCTTCCGAAAACCCTAAGGTTTGTTGATGAATTAAACACTAAAATTATTCGGTACGTTATTTGATTTGTGGATGTATTCTTTTTCTTTTTCCTAGGATTGGGGTTTTTCCAGTTCGCCGCAATCTACCTTATGTCCGTTGAAGAGTGGATGCGGTTGCATGCAAGGATCTAGCCGTGGAGGCTCTACTTTTCCGTCTCGAATTTCTTCGTCGCCGGCAACATCTGATCTACTGTATGCGGCGGCGGAGGAAGTTGCTAGGATGAGAATGACTGAAGAAGCTTACGGTGGATTCAACAACAGAGGCCTTTTGCGTTCACCGGCAACAATGTTCTCTCAGAACGTCGACGTTTCTGGCGTTTACCCATCTCCGTGGCCGCTTTATCAGCAGAAGCTGCAAGCCGCTCGAGTACGAGCTTCTAAACAGAGCCTAAAAATGCTTTGTTCATTTTGTTTTTTTTTCTCTGCAGTATTAAATCCGGTCAGTTTTTTCTCTGCAGTTTCAGATTCTGAAGCAACATCTGCTAATGAAACAACAGCAACCGCACTACAATCACCATGTGGTCCAAGAGAGAGTGAGGAGCAACAATGGTACTAATAGGCCTAAGGATTTGTTCCCCGCTGCATGGTCCCCTCTGCAGCAGCAAAACCAGAAGCCAAACGGGGCGGGTATGCGGGCTGTTTTCTTGAACAATCCAACTGCCAAAAGGGAATGTGCTGGAACTGGCGTCTTCATCCCTCAGCGTATTGGTGCACCTCATGAACCCCGCAAGAAGCCAGGTCCTTCCGCACATTATTTTTTGCATACTTTTTTTTTTTGGGTTTTTTCGGTATCTGATTTTGTTTTATTGTCTTTGTTATTTTAGCTGCTTCTCCTACTGTTCTGCTTCCGGCTAGAGTGGTTCAGGCCTTGAACTTGAACCTTGATGAGATTGGAGCTCAATCCCAGCATCATCTTCAGTTTAACCCAAATTCTGTTGCTGAGACTGGTACAGAATCATGTGAATCTAATAAAGTTTTTTTACTTTTTTTTCGAATTTCTATTTTTTTTTACTTTGATCTATATTTGCAGATGCTGCTTTGAAACTTCGAAGCGGTGCGAACGTGTTAGGCAACCAAAAGCAACGCAATTTCAGGCAACAAGGAAGGAAGCGTGAAGTGGGGTTACCTCAGGAATGGACGTATTGACTCAACTTCAGCATATCTGCTAGTGGCTGACTAGTTCTCTCTGGGTCTTTTTTTTGGGAGTTTTTAGGAAGATGGGGGAAAGGTGTTAGGGTTTGGTTATAGGGAAATAGTATAGAAAGTATAGGTTTTTAAGAAAGAAAAAAAATCTCGGGGGTATTAACAAGAAGATGAAATGGTTATTTTGTTGAAAAATAACGCAAGAACATCTAGTAGCTTGCTCGTGGCCAAGGGAAAACACAGTTAGACTTTTGTAAATCTGGGATTTGGGTCAATAAGTTGACAGTGAAAAATGTTGAATGAAATGGATGGGAACAATATTTTGTCTATCTTCTGTACCACATGAGCCCTACTACTGTTAGCACATGGGTGATCTTATGTCTAGGGTTGCACATAATTCGGATTTTAATCCGATCCGGATCGGTTTTTATCCGATCCGGTTTTTTCCCATAGAAAAAAAATCGGTTTATAAAATAACCGGTTCGGTTTCTAACCGGTTTGGAGGTCCGGATATCCTAACCGGTGTAACCGGTTTCGGTTTTAAAAAAACCGGTTTTTTTAAAAAATCAGTTATAAAAAAAAACCGATTTTAATATTTCAGATTGCTCATAGGGAATTGATTCCCCCCAAGGGGTACCGATTCTTCACTGAATGGTTTGGCTCCGAGATTTCCAGAATGTTCGGAGGGAATCGATTTCCCCATAGGAGTATCGATTCCCCCCTATTCAACTGTCGAAATATTTGAATTTTACACTTAGGGAACCGATTTCCTATGAGAGGAAACCGATTCCCTATGAGAGGTACCGATTACCCCATGCTACAAGCATTTTTATTAAATGTTTTCACACTTAAACGGCTATATTATCTTCATTAATTATCACTAACGTTTAGAAGTGATTCAAGATGTATTTAAGCAAGCTTAGAAGCCATTGATCAAAGACAAGAAACATCAAGCAACTAGAATCAAGAGAGAATCAAAGAGAAAGCATCAAACCTCAAGTTCGATAAATTCAAATACTTAATTGAAATACTTAATTAACTCAACATAATTGAAATACTTAAATACTTCCAAGTTTGATAAATTCAAATACTTAAAAACTTCCAAGTTCGATAAATTCAAATATTTAAAAACTTCAAGTTCGATAATTGAAACAAAGTTTACGATAATTGAAATAAAGTTATAAAATAAACTACATTGCCATCTCTTCTTCATCATCTTCGCCTTCTTCGTTTGGAGGGGATATTCCAAGTTCGACTTCTTCAATGTGTAAGTTTGCTTCCAAATCGGCATCAATTGCATCTTCTAGGGTGGTGATATGTTGCTTACGAGCCGCTCCATCCAAATAATCCTTTAAACAAATGCATACTTCCACCGACTCGGGACTTAGTCTTGATCTCCGTTGTGATATAACCTTGCCACTAACAGAAAAAGCGGATTCCGAAGCTACCGTAGAAGCTTGGACGGTTAGTAAATCACGGGCCATGGCGGCTAGAATTGGAAATTGTGCTTCTTTTTCTTTCCACCAAGCCAAAATATCCAAACTTTTAAACTCTTCAAATGTCATTTTTGATAGAAAATCGCATGACATGTAATTTCCCAACTCGCTACTTGGGGTGGTAGTACGTGATCGTTTGGATTGAGAATTTACAAGAGTGTTAAAAAGATTCAAATTTATGTTACTTGGACGTCTACTAGATGATTCCGCATTCATTCTCATTTGATCGTGTATTACACTACTTGATCCGTATTTAGTTAAATAAATTGCAAACATGTCTCGAAAACATTTGTTAAAATAATTTATTTGGTTTTGGACAAAGTTGAGTTCATCATCGGTTAGATTAAAAGCAAACGCAATTTGTTCAATTAGTGTTTCAACCCCACCAACATTTAACGTTGGGTTTAAAGCGGCGGCACAAGTAAAAATGGGGGGAATCTCCTTAAAATATTTTAAAAGTTTTTCCTTCATTGCAAAGCCAATTTCTTGAAAAACTTCGGTTTCAAATTCAAAGTCATTTAGTCAGGTAGCCAACAAAAATATTTGATTAAGAACCAACGGGCTAGTAGGGTAATAAACACCGGATAAAAAAGTTGTTGCATTTTTAAAAACCTCAAGCAAATCGGTTATTTTGGCTATAGTTTCCCAACTCGAATCCGGATAAATGTTTGGGACATGACCCCTCTCGAAAAGCCGATCGTGAAATGTTTGCAATGTTTCCCTTTGCCTTAAGGCAGTATGCATCATCATCCAAGTTGAGTTCCAACGAGTTGGACAATCCAAATTATGACCCAAAGCTTTTTTATTAACAGACTTACAAAATCGTTTATAATCATTTAGTCTTTTATTGTTGTTACAAAGAATCGATTTTATCATTGTTTTAAATTCTAATCTAATTGGCTCAATAACCTCCAAACCGGCTTGCACGGATAAATTAATTATGTGTGCAACGCAACGGGTATGAAAAAACACACCGTCTAAAATCGGTGAAAGTAATATTTTCAATCTTGGAACCGCGTTTGTATTATTCGATGCATTATCAAAGGATATAGAAAAAAACTTTATTTTCTAATTTATAAAGACAAATTACCCGTTTTAAAAGTGTAAATAAATTAGCACCGGTATGCGGCTCACCGAATAATTCAAACGCGATTGTTCTTTTCATCATTTGCCAATTATCTTGATCTAACCAATGTGACGTAACGGCTAAAAAAGAATTTCCGGTATTATGAGGGGAACTCCAAACGTCACATGTAAGCGACACACCATAACGGTGTTCTTGGAATCCTAAAATCATTTTTTCCCTCGCCGTACGCCACATTTTTATAGCATCTCTTCTAAGGGTAGTACGACTTACTTGAGTATAACGTGGTTGCATTAGTTGTTGAATTGTTGTCGTGAAATCTTCATCATCAAAGTGGTCGAACGGCAATGCTTTTGTAATCACGAACTTTGTAAACGCTTCTCGTAATTTTTCGTTGTCGTAAACAAAAACACCACCTTGCGGTATAAGATTCGATTGACTAGGATCCGATCTTGAGCGAAGTGCCTTGCATGATTTTGTCAAATGGTTCTTCAACTTTGTGTTTCCTTCCGATGCAAGAAACTTTAGACAAAGTTTACAACGCGCCCTCCTCGAGCCATTTGACATCTCACATAAATCGTAGTGATCCCAAATATCTTTGTTTCGAGTGTGTTCGATCACTCTCACGACTTCAAGGTTTTCCCCGACGGAAGATTCAGCAGTGTTACTCATGATGAACAAAAAATTACAAAACTAAGATTTGAGAGATGTTTAAATGTTGTGTAATAAGATTTGAGAAAATTGTAATCAACCAAATACATCTCCAACCTATTTATACATGTTTAGGGTGGTAAAATGGTAATTTTTTAAAGAAAAAAACGGTCAAAAACGGCTATATTAACGGCTAGTTTTTTAAACCCAGACCGGTTTTTTTTTCGGATAAAAACCGGTTTTTTAACCGGTTTTTTTCAAACCAGTTTTTTTATCCGGTAAAAAAACCGGTCTGGGTTTTTTTCTCCAAACCGGTTAAAATAACCGGTTTAAAAAAATTCGATCCGATTAAAAAAAACCGGTTTTTCCCAAATTCGGTTTCGAATATTTTTTTCGCAAAATCGAATATTCGGATTTTTTGTGCACCCCTACTTATGTCCCCTTTACCATTGCCAACCGAAACAGATATAATAATAAAATGTAACAGATTTGTTATTTATCAACTATTATGGTTTAAGGTGGTCTTATATTTAATGAATTGGTTAATAAAGTAGATGGAATATTGCATCTTTTCTGTGCCCAACGCCCAAGGCAGCTGCTGGTTTAAACCAATTATATGATATCATTAATATTCTTTAAAGGCACAATGGGTAATTAACTGTAAAATGTTGGTGTAAAAAACAAAAGAAAGAGATGAGGTTGGCAGTGTTGATGAGTAGGAAGCGTAAGGAACATTAAGGCTGCTACTTTGTATTTTTTGTGATCTTTCTGTGCAGATTTTTCTTTTAATCGGAGCCTAAAACAGTAAAAACACAGTGGGTCTAGCAGTTGCACCGCCAACAATGGCCAAGCAACGACTGGCCATCACGCCCTGCATTCATGCCTGCCCTTATGTTTGTCGGTAATGACATGTTCAAGATTTCGGTTGCCAAATCCCAATAAAATCTTTTCTTCGTCCCCAAAAGCAATGACAAGAATGGGATGGGCATGTTACCACAACCCCGATTAATTCATCGGATCGGGTATTTTTAAAAAATTTAAATTTGGGTCGGGTTGAGTTGGTTTAGAGTTTTCTAAAAGTGATTTTGAGTTGGGTTGGATTTGGATTTAGGGTGAAAAATATTTAACTCGAAAAAAAATATAATTTTACCTTGTATATTTAAAAATAATTACAATAATATCCCTCTATATATTATTATTTTTAATTAAATAACTATTTTTATTGAATAAAAATAATATTTTTTTATTATTTAGGATTAAGTCAAATTCAGATTTTATCTTAAAAAATCGTCTTGAATTCGGGTCGGGTGGAGGGATGAATCGCTAGCTTATTCTCACCAAATATATGGTTTTTCTTTTCATGTAGGCCATAAGCTTTTAATATCATTAAATTATAAAATTGGGTTTTTAAGATGGACCCATTAAAAACATTTGGCCTATGTTCATTTTGAAAACGAAGCCCTTATTTTACCCAAACGGCCGAACAAACCGGGGTGAATTGGGTGAGCTGAAAAATCGAAATAGCCGCCCTACATGCTATCAACTGCCCACCAATAACGTGGCCTCTTATACGTTGGCCAGGATCAGGTATATCACTTACTACCACATCACAATCAGAACGCTTTCAACTTTCAAAAAAGTCAACGGCCACGATTCGCTATGATCTTCTTACTTTAAATATGTCAGGGATCAAACACTATTAGCAGCCTGATTTTGTCCTGCGGTTCGCCCGGACGCTTGTAAGAATCATCAAAGTCAATTGCTCCTCAACCGTCAGAATTTCAGGTATATTAATTTCTTTTGTTTAAAGAAAATCTTCGAATTAGAATTCAAAACCGTTAGTTTTCACTTTTCTGTCTAGAGGAGGCGGAGCTTTTTGAAGCTGTTAATCATGACTGTAAAGTTAAGATTAAGCTTGTTGCAGCTCAGTTAAACAAACTGCGGTTATAGTCGGAACTTTGTAAACTCTTCAGTTAACAATGGCGATAGAGGAAGATACTGGGCAGAGTTACTTACCGTCGAAGAAGAAATCAGAATCTGAGGATGATAAGAGGTAACCTCTTTTTTTTTTTTTTCGTTGCCTTCAATTTAAAATTTTGAGGGAAAAAATTATGATTATGATTATGATTTTGGATTTTGGAATTAATAGGAGGAAGAAAATTGTTCCCGGTAGCTTAATGAAAGCTTTGATGAGACCTGGAGTAGGTTAATCAAATCCGTCAGATGGTGATCAGGTTATTGTTCGGGTTTTTTTTAAAAAAAAAAAAACTGTTTCTAATTGTATAGCAGAATGCCGGATTTATTGTATTTGAAAATTTTGAATAGCAAGACTTAAATTGTGAATCGATAAGCATTAATTTGTAGGTTATATATCATTGCACAGTTAGGACCTTGGATGGAGTTTTCGTTGACTCTACAAGATCAGAATATGGAGGTGAATATACATTTGAGTAGATTTAAACTTTTGCGTTTTGACTGCTATGTTAAGTAGAGTGACTATTATATAATGGGCGGGCCTTCTAGTGAATGTCGGAATGTAGAAGTTCGACATGTGCAGGCCTGAAGTTAAACAACATACATAGTTGAATTGTCTGAAGGTATATGCTTTTTTTTTTCTGAACTGACATTCATTCCTGTTACAGGGAAAGGCTTTCCAATAAGAAATGTATTGGGTAAGAGCAAAATGATATTAGGGTTGTTGGAAGGAATTCCAACAATGTTGAAGGGTGAAGTGGCAATGGTATTGGCTTTGTACTTTATAGAATATTTGTTGGTCAAAATATTTAAACAGATGTGAAAATAAATGAACTATTGTTGTGGAATTTCTTTTTATTTCTTAAAATATACAGCGAATCTCTTTTTTCAGTTCAAAATGAAACCTCAAATGCACTATGGAGAGGAAGACTGCCCTGTTCCAGTACCAAGTAGTTTCCCTAAAGAAGATGAACTCCATTTCGAGACTGAGTTGATAGATTTCTCCAAAGCCAAGGCAAGACTACAAGATTGCTGCAAATTTTGATAATTGTCCTTTCGTTTTAACATTTCGGCATAAAGCAATTCCTTTATAGAATGTGTTTTTAGTTCTCGTACAAGTAGTAGTGTCAATAGTATTCATATGATAGTGCTCATGATATGCTGCTTAGCTCTCATTGGTGGATTTGGATGTAGCCTCTTTTAGTTCTAATGCCATTATATTTTTATGGCTGTTTTCAGGTTGTTTGTGATGATTTAGGAGTTCTGAAGAAGGTAATACCTACTTTTTTTTTTACTTCTAAATTCTAATGTCATCATTATTTTTGGTTTGTTGCACTCTGTTGCTGCAAGGACTTTATTCTTTCTTTCATATTTACACAGAATTTGTTTTATTCTGAAAGATATCGTGTAACTAATACCTATATTTATTGATAGGTAATAGATGAAGGTCAGGGTTGGGAATCACCAAGGGAACCATATGAAGTAAAAGCTTGGTAATTGTTCTCAAGCCTTTATACATATTCTTTTGTGTACATTGCACAAAATTTCCAGAATATTTTTGATAATTTGTACGATATATAATATGTTAAATCATTCAGGATTTCTGCAAAGACGGCTGATGGGAAGTTAATTCTGTCACACACAGAAGGAGAACCATATTTCTTTACTTTTGGGAAAAGTGAGGTAGGTAACTTATATTATTTTAGGGTTTTTTTTAGTCAGTCATCCTGGTATTCTTTATCTAATGTGTGCTTGATCTACCCTGCTTCTTTTAGTCACGCTTAAGCAACTGTTGATATAATATTGCATTTGCTCTCATAAAATTTAGGTACCTAAAGGTCTTGAGCTGGGAGTAGGAACAATGGCTCGGAAGGAGAAAGCGGTGATTTATGTTACAAAGCAGTACTTAACCCCCTCTACCCTCTTGCCTGAGATTGAAGGTTATGAAGAAATTCATTTTGAAGTGGAGCTTGTTCGTTTCATCCAGGTAAGTCATTTCTCTCATATAGATACCTCTCATAAATGTTTTTATCATCGGGCAAACTATTGGCAGATGTAAGTGAACTCTCAAGTGTTGGACTAATAGGTGAGGGACGTGCTGGGAGATGGGCGCTTAATTAAACGACGACTACAGGATGGAAAAGGTGCTCCTTGGTATTTTATTAAACATCTCCATTGAGAATCAACTTAGTATTAGTTCATGGTCTGTCACATTTTCACCTATGCATTCATGTGAAAGTCTTACTTTAGGATATGTATTTAACAGTTTTGCACTCATTCTTATTTGACGGGAAGATTCCTAGGATGTTGCTTCAAAATTTTGATTTGCATGCGTTCCACTGCTTCTGTTTTTTCTTCCTTTAATTTTGTCTGCCAAAGATCCTGGTTGTGTGGCTGCACGAATGATGGCTATCTTCTCAGTTCGAGAATCCGGGGAAGGTACAATCAATCTCAATGCAAATATCGCACCGACAATATAACTAATGCCTCCATGAGAAAAAACTTCCGAAGGCACTTGCCTCAATCTAATCCACACATGAACCTTATTGGAATGCAAATTTAGTAATTAAATTCCACGTTCCTACTATAAGTCGTCTGTTGTGGATATGTCAGACTTTATAAGTATGGGATGATTATAAGGTAGTATGTACTTGAAAAACGTTTAACAATTTGACAATAAATGCGATGCTCAAATACCCCTACAAATATTATGTTCGAACGCTAGATATTTAGGAATAATAAACATCCTTTAACCGTTGAGATCCTTTTAACTCGTACGGATATGCAAACTTGTTTTTGATTAGGAAATAGAATCAAGTATATACCAGGCTTAAAGAATCAAGTTTCAATATCCCCATCTTTTTCCCATAGTAGATCAGTCGTCCTTGGTGGAGTTGATGTGGATTGGTTCAAACATATTTTTTGAATTTAATAAAAAAAATCTATGTAAAAATATGTAATTAAATAAAAAACCAAATCAACATGTGATTATACGATAACTTGTTAACTTGGAGATAAATAAATTGGTTAAACGGTTTACCGATTCATAGTGCACATTAACTTAATTTCATTATAAATGCAATAAACACAGTAATCGTTTGAAAATGATGTGATTAATTAGACTTTTAAAGATGTAAAAATCAAGTTGTTCCAACAGCTTAATCACCAGAACTTGGAAACAACTTGGGCAACACAAGTATTTCTTAGGTAACTATCCCTCTCAAGAGATCAAATTCAATGTTTTCAATTACTACAATAAAATTAAGGGTAAACTACACACGTCTCGTATACCAACCATCATTTTTATTATGTTTTGGTCACACAACTAAAATCGTACTTAACGTTTAGTTTTGATTTCATTCTGGTCACCGTTGTTAAAAAATTAACAGTGATGTTGATGTGTCACCATAAGATAATACCACATCATCATCGGAAAAAATACCACGTATGTAATTTTGCTAATATTTTTAACGGTGAGTGACTACAATGAAACCAAAATGTAATATTAGGTATGATTTAAAAAAATAGTTAGGGTGACTAAAAAGACCAAAAGTGATAGCTGGGTACTAAATATATAATTTACCTTAAAATTAATTAAAAGTCCAGTTAGATGCTGATGGAATTTGAATTATTCAAACAGGCCATGAATAGGTAACTCAAAGAGTCAAGAGTATTGATATAAAAGAAAAGATTTAGTCATTCATTAATCTAGGTCAAGTGAGGCGTGGGGTTCAAGTATATGAAGATTATTTTGATTTTTACCAATAAAAAAGAAAAAGAAAAGAAGAAGAAGAAGCAATGTTATAAAACTATAATTATTTGATGCCATACTTACGTTTTACTATTTAAAATTTGACAAAAATGTAATTAAGGGTTATTATTTGATATATATTTGTTTTAAATAATATGCTTATTCTAATTTTAAATCTTGAAATTCAAAATTTTAGACATTAAATCTTAAAATTTTAAACCTTAAATTGGATACATATCATTAAAATAAACAAATTTATGTAATCTAAAAATTATGCCTCCTGTATATTTAAAAATTTTCTTTAATTTAAATCACACATTTATCAGATGTAAAAGAGATTTTCATTATAATAATTTTAGTTACATTAGATTATCTTTGATCCCAAGGCACATTAGATTGTTTGGTGCTTTGGGTTAACTGCTTTAAAAATTACTTGCTTTCATATTTAAAAATGACTTACGTCTCGGGTTTGAATAAATACGTATCATATATGTACGATGTCAATATGTTAGAAGAATATTTGAACAAACACCATCTTATAATCATCACAAATTATTTAAAGAATCGACACCCGCTAGTTAATAATAAAGTGTTTAAACGTTTATCGTCAAATAGATTAGGAATCATTCGAACATATACTATCTTACTATCAATCAAACATTAATAATGAAAAAACAAAACAATCAATACCAAAAGTTTACGTGAAAGCAAAACGAGTTGAATGTTCAAAGTTTAGATGCTCTAGACCAATCAATAATCACTAATTTTGCTAGGGTTTTTGTTGATTTAACCTTTTCTTTAAAAAGAAAGAAAGAGAATAAAATGATGACGGAGAAATGGGAAAACCTACACTATTTGACTGAATCCAAGTAGAGTATATATTAATATATCATGATTAAAATTTCGATCAGAACCAACAACCAGTTGGTCTAGTGGGATGAGGCACTAGGTCCCTTAAACAAGGTCAGGGGTTCGAATTCTGGCGTTTGTGAATGTAGTAAACTGGGTTGGGAGGGTCGCCCTCGCCTCTGCAGTACCCGATCTGGATTAGTCGATCAATAGATCGGATATCAATGATTAATTAAAAAAATGGATCAGAAAACATAGTGCAGTTTGAACAAATTGATAGCAAGAAACTGACATTTACATCTTTTGTATCCTTAGTTATTATTACACACTCTTTTGAAAGAGTTTTCTTAATGACTCATATAAAGATTTTATATATAACTTTCAATAAAAATCACACATTAAATTTTTTTATATCTTTTAAATTAAATACTATTGATTATTAGATTATGTATATGTTTTCATTTTTTTCTTTTAGACTATAAAAGATTACATGCGATCATACATAATTTAGCGAGTAATAATGTAATCTATCCACTAAATAATGTAAAAGTTATTAATTAAAATCACGTGGCACGAATCAAATTACTTCAGTGATTAAAGGAATAATTATTATTCTCAAAGGTTCTGTATTCGAACATAAGTGACTGCAGTAGGGGTGATTGAACGTTTATCTTTAAATGATTAAGAATATATGGAACATACACTATTTTGTAATCACCTTAGTATAATGATTATAAGAAAATATATGTTATATTAAGAATCTTTATTAGTCATTAATAACGTACATACACCTAGGGATGGGCACGAGACTCGAACCCGACGGGTTCTAACTCGATTGGGTTGGATTTTTTAAAAAAAATTCGGGGTCGGGTCGGGTTTCTTTAGAGAATAGGTTCAAGTCGGGTCGGGTTCGAGTTTAGGGTGAAAAAATATGACCTGAAAAATAATATAAAAATACCTTATATATTAAGAGATAATTGCAAGAATACCCCTCTTTATATATTTTTTCAATTAAGTCTTTATTTATTAAATAAAATTAATAATGTTATATTATTTCAGGTCATAGTCGGGTTTTATCTCAAACGTTGGGGCGGGTGGAATTGCTTTAAGCTTGAGTCGGGTTTCGGATGGAGGAATAAAACTTTGGGGTCAGGTCGGGTAGGGTTGGTCGGAAACCCGACCCACGCCCATCCCTACATACACCCTACAAACACTACTTCAACTCGAGATCTTGAGAGAGAATAAAACTCATTATTATTATGACTAAGATATATAACTCAATATATTAATAAATAAAAATTATTATTAATAGAAATCAATCACCAAAAATCAAGACAATACTAAACATCAAAATAAAAACATTACAACAATTTTAAGAACAATATAATGCTTATATATTAAATGAAGCCTAAAAAGTATGGTATGCGATATGAATATTCAATAACATATATGAAACTATTTTTTTATAAGGAACTCTATTTAAACTCTTTTAATAGTCTCAATGGTAATTTTTTTTTATTTAAATCGAATTAAATAATTATATTTACACAATTTGTGTTCGTTGACAATGAATAAAAGTTTAATATCATTTCACATTAAACCTCATGGATCTACGGCAAATATTTTCAAGCTTGATCATCCAGCAGAAGAAACCTATCAATCCAGGAAATTAAAAAATTATAATTTTTATTATAAATATATATATATAAATATATATATATATATATGTATTTAAAAAACTTAATTCCTTTGTAATTTTTAAAATTTAATTGAATTAGTGTTATAAATCTTAGTTCCTTGGTTTTCCCAACTAAGTTCAATAATTTAAGGCTTAATACAAAAATAAATGTTCAAACTATCCCTTGAAAAATGTTTTAGTGTATAAATAATTTTTCTTTAAAAATAGGTGTATAATGTTTCAAACGTTACACTTGCATGTAGTTAAAAATCACCGTTAAGTACCACATGCCAATTTTGGTAATTTTAAGAATTTATTTAAAAAGTAAAAAAAATAAAATATTTATTTAAACAATAAATATATATATTTTTAAAAAAGATTTTTTAAGAAAAAAACCCACCCCCTCCCTTTCCCCTACCTCCTTTCTCCCTTTCCCCTACCTCCTTTCTCCTTCCCCGATGCCACCGCCACCAGCAGTTGGTGGTGTACACCGCCACCACCAGCAGATTTGTCGGCGTCTTGATAACTCCGTAAAAAGACTATGTTTCCTGTCTTTTTACTTAAGTTATTGTGTGTCTAAAAGTCGTTGTCATAGCATATTAGTTGCATTTAGGTCATTTTTGCATGTGGTGGGTAAGTTTTGCCTAGGCAAGATTTATTTGACTTAACTGATACTGCTGAGGATGAAGGTTATTTGTTGGTTGTATTGATGCAGGAAATAACGAAGGAAGAATTTATTTGCCGAGACAATAACTATTTCTCAGGGCAAGAGGAACATAAGAAGACGACAGTGAGGAACAGATTTATCTTGCCGAGGCAAGATTTATCTTGCATATATGATGTGGCTCAATAATTGATGACGTCAATTGCCTATCTTCGCCCTCACGTGCAATCACACGCTTTAAGAAATTGACCACCTCTAGTCACCTTTCTATTTATAGCATGGGCAAGTCAACAAGGGTATTTAGGGAATATCCAAGGACACAAAACCCTAGGAATTTCTATTATAAATACCCCATTATAGCCTCCCAGAAGAGGAGAGAAGTAAGGAGAGGATTTACCTTAGGCGTGGAGTAAGCAACTGCCGTACCTTATCTTTCACTGTTCCCCCACTCGACCGTTCTTGGTACCCTCCATAGCAGGACTTCATCGGAGTAGCGACTAGCTCCTCGAGAAAGGCCAGCCGTTGGAGCAGGCATGGTGG